TATTTTAAAATAGTATATCTATCATTCTGTAATAACAATTAGAGCAATGAGGCCATGGCTGTACTCCGATTGGATATTTTCATTAACGCCAAAAGGTAGAGAACAAAAAAGGCTTTTGAAGATATTACATGGATTTACCGAAAAAGTAAGAAGACTGCTTAAAATTGTATTCAAATCTATTTTTTTTTATTTCTTTTAAGAAATTACGATAGAAATTTTAAAACTTTTGTATACAAATGTTGCAAAATAAATCATAAATGTTAATAACACATTGTTAATGCGTTCATAAATTCGTAAAAGAGACATTAATTTTCTATTTACATAGATTATTGCTGACAGAAAACTTTATCATAAACTCACTAATGGTCAATACTTGAAAAACTTTGGTAATGAAGATTTCACAGAAGAAAATTACATAGAAACGACTAGAAGTATGTAAAGTAATCAGAAGCTAATTCTTTTATTTGGTCGATGATTAATATTATAAATTATATATACAATTTCAATCCTAAATAGAGTTTTATTTATCAATTAATATTATATAATTAAAATAAAAAATTTAGATTGTTAATATTATATCGACATGTTTATATACTTTATTATAGCACGGAAAAAACGACTTGCAATGTTGGATCATTTAATAGCGGCATCTCGTGAAGGTTTAATAACTGATTCTGATATTAGAGAAGAAGTCGACACTTTTATGTTTGAGGTATGTTTGTATCATCTTTTAATGTTTTTACATATTGTTTATAATGTTTATATCGACATAAATATGTATGTGATTACAGGGTCATGATACTGTGGCAACGGCTCTATGTTTTATTTTGGCATTATTAGCTGAGCATAAAGACATTCAGGTATTTATCATCAAATATAAATCGCTACCTTTAAGAAAAGCTATTAATTAATTTTAATGATTTTAAAAACTATTTTTTTAAATATGTCATTGAAATTAAATTATAAAAATTTTATTTTAAATGTTTGTGTACGTATGTGTTAAATGTACAATTTTTGCTTTTCTCTATATTAATATTAATAAATATATATAGATAAATACAAAAAAAAATGTGTGCACCCACACGTTTATGCACAATGTATTTCACATATTCTTCTAAGGATTCAATGTATTTTGTGTTCACATTTTTAAAAAAATTAATTGAGATATTAATATACTTAATTAATCTTGAAATTTTGTGGAATTTGTTTTAGTTTCAATAAAAATATAAAACATCTTATTAATTAATACTAATAATACAGGATCGTGTCAGAAACGAAATCGATATTACTATAAAAGAGAATGGGAAAAAATTTACTATGAAATTATTGCAACAGCTACCATATTTAGAGAGATGTGTAAAAGAAGGATTGCGCTTATATCCCAGTGTTTATATTATATCACGCTTTACTGCAGAAGATGTAAAATTACGTACGTATCAAATTATATCCTTTCTTATTTTTAAAAGGTCGGAAAAATTTGCACGAGGTCGATAAAACAGACTTTTCGGTGTTAGTGGTATCTCTAAATGAATTTCTTACAATCTCTTTTGTCTCTCTCAAACACGTGCATAGTCCTTATCTAACTTATTAAAGTGCCATAGATCG